CCCCCCCCCCCCCCCAGTAATTTGCTCATAATCATTCTTTTTTTTCAAAATCATGCAGACCTTTATCATTTAATCTGTGACAAACTGCAAAGAATGAGATTTTATCCATACTTTTCTGCAACTTATTCAATATATAGTTAATTAAATACGCCTTCGCCCATTTAGTACTACTAAATTGTAAATTTCGACTTACTAAAACGCTGTTTTCTGACTATCGGAATTTTGTCAAATCTTCCCCAAAGTCCAGGCATGCAGTGGCATTTCAGAGACTCTAATTTTAGTAATCGCTGGATGTGCGCATAAATCACAGCTTAATTAATACTCCCTACACTCTCGGATATAGTAATTTAGTTAAAGTATCAAATGTGTACCTGACCGATCACATTGAGCGACAGATGGCTGAATCCATGCAGTCAGAGGAACGGCGAAAAACATCAACAAAGAAAATGGACTATTCATGACTTCTTCTGAAAGGTAAAAAGGGAGCAAACAATTAATTCACATCGTATAGCACCAGGTCTCGAATTTCCCTGAAATCAATCGACGGCAATGGTGTTAAAAATTGCCGTAACGTAATAGCTGTCTACGGCAATTTAATTTTGGCAGTTTCCACGGTATTTTTTCAAATTACAGTAATAATAATTTAATTCTATTGTTGCTTTGCATTGTTGACAAGCTAGAAACATGTTTACGTATTTCTTTAGTGTTTTATTCCGAAGAAAACTGAGAATAAAATAGTAATTTACGCATGATTTGATCAAGACTGAATTCAAGTAATAGTAATGCACAGTGCGGCAAATACATTATATTTTTGGCCGCCGTTGATACAATGATAAAATTCAAGCCCTATATGGCACGCGATCCTGGTCCGAGGGAGAAATGAAATAAATGAACTGGAAAAATAACTGCTCATCTCAAAATAAAGACATTTTCTTCGCATAATAAACATATGTATAGCAAAGACTGAAACATATGAAGTACTACATATACATACTGCATGTATATGTGGTACTTCATGTACATACTGTACATATCCTAATGTTCAATAGTTTATTCGTGTCTTACAACCACTGACAATAGAATTCGAATTCTCCGTCATTTAGGCTAGGTAATACTAACTGTGATTGTTTGCCCGTAATACTACACTGTACGTGGATAAATGTATGTATAAATCAAAACATTTAGGGAACGCTGGCAATCACCAAGATCATTTTAAAATATTTTAGAAAAACACGCTGAGCTTAAGTCC